GAGAGAGAGAGAGAGATTGTGTATGTTTTGTTGGCGACTGTGCTCTGTTTTCATCATATGATTATTGGGTTTTCTTTTTTCAGATGGTGATGTGGGTTTACTTCAACTTGAGCTCAAAGATCTGAACCTGCAGTTTTCATGGTCGATATCTAGAATTCAAGACTTTCTCCCATCGGAGACTCTTCCTCTTTCTTCGAGTGTTGAGTGTTGCTCCTCCGACATGATGGAAAGACTCATCGCTCTTGTTGCAGAGCACAACATCCCTGAAGCCAATATTGGGCTCGCTGTTGGTGTCTCCGCCTTTCTCTGGTTATACATTTCCATTGCTGGGTTAGTGACTCTACTTCTCTCTCTACATTTCCAACCACTAATGGGCAAGTAACATCTTTCCTGATCAAATCGACACACCCTATTTACTCTCTGGCCTCCCCCCCCCCCCTCTCTCCTCGGACATCTCCAAGCCTTGAAGCTCTCTCCGTACATCTGCAAACCCCCCCTCTCTCTCTCTCTCACACACGCATACAAATGTGTTTCTTTCTTAATTGGGTGGTTTCAATGTTCAGGTTTAAGACCGCAAAAGCAATTGTTACTTCAAACCTTCCTATGGGCTCAGGTTTGGGATCATCCGCTTCATTTTGTGTTGCACTATCTGCATCACTGCTTGCATTGTCAGGGACCATAAGTTCGGCTTCAGATCAGGATGGTAATTTGGTGCTTGGGGAGAGAGAAAGAGAGTTGGTTAATAGATGGGCCTTTGAAGGAGAACGAATCATACATGGAAGGCCCTCTGGAATTGATAATTCTGTAAGCACATTTGGTATGTGAAGTTTAATTAAGCTTTCATTCTACACCCAATGAATCTGTTCTTGCTCTATAAGTTATCGAGATTTAACTTTGTAAGATCGATTTTGAAGATGGAAGAACTGTGGGAGTCGGGCTTGGGCATGGGGTTGATTGGTTAGTGGGTGACAATTGCAATACTACAGCCTAAGTTTGATTCCTACCGCTGAACTACCCAAGAACCAAAAAGAATGGAAGAAAGTTTTTATTTTTTATCAACCACCCATTTACCAAAACGGAGATTATGACTATCCCAATGATTTTAATTTTTACCATGACCTGTTAATGTGTATAGCATTGAGGTCCTCCGATACAGATTTCTAACTGTAGTCTAAACTCCGTATTTAGGCCACTGTATTTGGCTGAGTTAAAATGCAATGGATTTGATTCTAGTTTTTCGAAACCGCTTCAGATTTTTGCATTGTTATTAGTTCTGTAAACAATCAGATTGTGACTTACTTTTCTAATGTGATAGACATCCTCTTCAATGCCATCAAGTTGTAGAGCAATTCAGGTAAATATTACCATTATATATTTTCATTACAGGTAACATGATCATGTTCAAATCCGGTGAACTAACTCGAATAAAAGCCGGCTTACCCCTCAAAATGCTCATAACAAACACAAAGGTTGGGAGGAACACAAAAGCATTAGTCGCTGGGGTTGCTGAGAGAGCAGGTAGACACCCTGAAGCCATGTCTTCAGTGTTCAAAGCAATTGATGCAATAAGCATGGAACTCTCTACCATAATCCAGAGTGGAGCATCAGATGATCTCTCCATTATTGAGAAAGAGGAGAAGTTACAAGAATTGATGGAGATGAATATGGGTTTGCTTCAATCCATGGGTGTGAGCCATGCATCCATAGAGATGGTTCTCCAAACCACCTTGAAATATAAACTAACTTCCAAGTTGACTGGGGCAGGCGGTGGAGGCTGTGTTCTAACTCTTCTACCCTCATGTATTCATGTTCTTCTCCTCTTTACTTTTGTTGTTGCTTCATGCTTAGTGGTTGTTGCCATGTTTTATGTTACATCTGCTATTGCCTTTGTTACATATTTATGCTTCCGTTGTTACATATTTATGCTTAGAAAACTACGATGTCTGCTTCAATCCCCAAAATTACCAAATAAAATCAATGCGAAGCCTACACGCTCCGAGTAATTATTCTATTGTGTATATATGAGAATGGGTTATTGGTAATGTTCTTTCTTTGTAGATGGGAATTGGGTCTCATTAGATAAAGGCTGTGCCAGTAGAAGTTTATTTTGATGCTTCCAAACTTAATGCTGCTCTGAAATCCTGATTGAAGTGCTGATTGTTGGATACTAGTGATAAGAGATAAATCATATTGTGATTAGCTTTCTTGTTCTCTATTTCTAGGGTTTACAATATTGTTAAGTGATTCATAACTCGATGACTCTGGCTTCGACTTAATCAAGTCACTTGCTAGGTCCTGGTTCAAAACCCAGAGATTTGCCAAGAGTATGACCGAGTCTTGAATCTACTCTATACATAGACTCGTCGAATACGACTCTTGCGAGTCCAATCCTAAGTCTTTGTTTTCAAACACCTATATTGGGATTGTGGCAGCACAGTCCCAATACAACACCGGTTAGGAGGTGCAATTTGGTTCAAGTAGAAAGCTCTAAAAAGGCAAGCCCAAAAGGACATGGATGGAGGTAGTGAGAAAAGGTATGGGGACTTATCGAGGGTATGGCCCTTGCTAGAGCAGAATGGTAGAATAGTATTTGTGTAGCCAACCCAAATAGTTGGGATAAGGCTTTGATGATTATTATTATTATTATTATTATTATTATTATTATATTGTGATTGTCTATTTGTTCTTATTTGGTCTGCCATGGCCTTTGCTCCAGTGTTTTGACTCCTGGTTAATAAGTGGGAGGCTCAATGTTTCGAGTGTGGCCTCCATCTGCTTGCCCAAAGCCAAAAAAGGAAAGAGGTCCTTGTTGGTCATAATGGAAGTACAAGAAAGTATTGCATGTGTGCATATTCTTGTGATTTTCTGTATCTTCAGTCTTTGTAAATTCCACATCTGGAGCGTAGTGGAGCGACTCTCCCCCATCGCTGTCGCTGATTTAGTGATTGCGTGTACCCACATTAGCACTCTTCTTGAATCTCTGGGATCATTTTGACTGCACTTTGTACATAACTGTTTTACATCCTATGCTTCCCATACTTATCTGGAAATGACCAAAGCATCCAATTCACATCAAACCACTTGTGTTCTTTATACTCTTTAGGAATATTCAAAAGGAAAAGCTCCTTAGTATTTCTTGGAGATAGTCTAACACTTGAATGTTTTGTTTTGTGAATGGGATGCCTCTCATTTAAACCATTCAACAAATTTGTTTATTGTTTTCCTTTGATGTATTTTTCTCATGCTAGTGTTTGAACTTAACTATTAATTTTTCTTTTTGCTTCAGGTTCTCTTTCTTTGTATGGATGTATGTATGTTTATGCATCCATATGTCTTTGGTGGCTCTTGCAAGGTAGCTATAAGCCTTGTTTGGACTTTATATATTCCCTCTCCCAAATCAAATCTGAACTTTTTGAATCATCATTGCAAGGACAATGAGGGTTTGGAAGTTCAGATTCCATTTTTTAAAAAATCAGACTTGTGAATACAGTGGGAAATTTGTTGTTTCATGCGAGAAGCATGCAGTCCAGTTCATGGCGCTAAGATCGAACCAAAGTTCTTTGTTCTCAAAATAAGGTCCAACCAAAGTGCTTATTCACAGGTGTTGAGACTGGCATCGCATGGATTTGGTGGTGCCCTATTTGTAATAGGGATCTTTTATTTCTATATATCCATTGATGAAAGTTAAATGCAGCTGGAAGTGCAGAAACTATGATTTAGTGTGCAGTTTTATGAGGTTGTGAAATGAAATGAGTTCTTGACTATCAAGTTGACTATCTTGGGTCAATAATCTTGGAATTGAGGAAGATGTCGCACAAAATTAAAGTTGGGTGGACTAAGTGGAGATATGTAAACGGAATTTTATGTGATCTCCGCATACCAATGAAGCTTAAGAGCAAGTTCTATAGGACAGTTGTGAGATCATCTTTGCTTTAAGGGTTGGAATACTGGGCGGTCAAGAAACAACATACCCATAGAATGAGAGTAGTTGAGATGAAGATGTTGAGATGGATGAGCAGCAAGACAAGAAGGGATAGAATTCGAAATGAATGCATTCAGAGAATTTAGGTGTGGCACCAAGAAGGTGATAAGATGAGAGAAAATAGACTTAGATGGGTTGGCCATATGTGACACAGACGCAGTACAACAACCATCAGGAGGTGCGAGTTAGTTCAAGTTGAAGGCTAAAACAAGGCAAGAGGTAGACCCAAAAGAATATGGTTGGAAGTAGTGGGAAAAGATACGGGGACTTATAGTCTCATTGAAGGTGTGACCCTTAATAAAGCTGAATGGTGGATCAATATTTGTGCTGTCGACTCTAATTAGTTGGGCAAAGGCTCTGACGATGATGATGATATGCTATCTTTACACTGCACTTCCCCAAATCAAGTTCTTGTTCCAAGTGGTTAGGTTCGTCCTGGAGAAGTTTTAGTGCTCAATAATCAAACTTCTCTATGAATATAAGCAAAATTTACTATTGTTCAAGAAAAATGATTTATGCAAATGACTGTAACCCCATAAAAGAATTCCCATCCAAGAAAATCGTGAGCTATTTTGGGTCACAATTTCTGGACTTTCTAATGTGCTCTTCCTTTGTGAAGATTCCTTTTTGAGAAGTGCTTTTTCATTGCTAAGAAGGGCCTCATTTGCTCATGATCCTTAATGTTGAATGCCTTCTTTTGGTGTTCTTTCAATTCTTGAAAGTGTCTGCATTGTTTTTTGGATAATGTCATCCACACAGGGCAAGAGTATTCAATTATCCTTGTAATTATTCCCTCTTTTCTTATCATCATAAACTTTGAGTAGTCAACGTTGCTCTTCTGGAAACCAATCTCTTTTCATTATACAACTGGAAAATTTTAACCATTGTGGAGATTGTTTTCACTTATAAATAGTCTTCTTCAATTTGCTGACTTTCCCTTTCTCTGCATACTGTGTAAAACTGTTGGGGTTATGTGGCCATTTAAAGGTCTAATGAGAGCATGTACTGAGATTATTACAGGGGAATATTGGCTCCAGTGGGAGTGTGGTCCACATTGGACTGTGAGACATTACTAATGCCGAGACTCGTCTGAGCTTTGACTGGCTATGGCCCAAGGTGATGTCTAAAGCATGTAGCCTTGGGCATATTGAGCACAAGCAATAAGGGTTTCGACGTGGGTTTATCCCTTATTGAGGTCAGAATTGTGCCCAGGGCCGTTGGCCAAGGGATTGGATGCGAGGCCTATGTGTGATGGTTGGCCGGAGAGGACAAGGGTCAAAATCCTCATCTTTACCATCACACAACATGCACACTAGATAGCCATTCGGGAAGCGGACCTTTGGATAAGGGTGTGTATTGTGTTCATGTGTTGAAGAGATGACTCTCTGTAACTAGACTGTGTTGGAAGGACCCATGGAGCATAGTGTTGGACTGGGGCCTGGACTTGTTGTCAAGGAAGGATCTGTAATTCATGGACTTGGATCATGTCTCTGTTATTTATTGGCTGACTTCGATAGTCCAATTATGAACCCGTAAGAAGGGCTGTGGATCATGTACACAATTGGGCTAGTTTGAGAAGGTGCAGTGAGATACGGTTTCTAGAAGGGATGGAATCCTTAGTATATTTGTTATATTCTTAACTCTTTGGATCCAATTCCCGTCAAATCTTCTTAAAAATATAGAATTATATCTTAGTTATATTTTAGATGATTAAAATAAAATTTTAGACCTCTTTGGGCATTTTATTTTATTGAAAAATAATTTTTAAATAGAAAAAATCAATTTTTTAGATTTATTTTAATCAGAGAGGAAAATAGAATATTTCACGGCTTTGTAAAATTTATATTAATATCTTAAAATATTGTTTATAGTGTTGGGGGCCCATTGCGGTTCATATTGGGCCCACCACATGTGGGGGTGTGGGGTCCACAAGGGTTCCCATGAGTGGGGCATCCCACTTCCGCCTCTTTCCTATTTTCTATGGGTTGTGTAGTAAGCCATCAATTTATTTAAAATTTAAGGAAAGTGTTGTGTAGAGATTTTGATTGACTTCAATAAGAAAGTGTAGAGATTAATTGAAATAGATTTGCAAAAAGAGATTATTTTCGCTATACTATTTTTTATTGGAATGGATTTCAAATAAGAAAGTGTAGAGATTAATTGAAATTGATTTGCAAAAAAATATTATTTTTCTCTACACTATTTTTTATGGGAATAAATTTATAGAAACTGAGGGATAATGGTTCCACCTCATTCCTTTTAATTATGATGGATGATCTAAAAAATAAATGGATTAGATTTTTTCACCCCACAAGTCTCCATGATTAAAGATCAAGATTGAGTCTCATAATGATGGCAAAATCCTAACCTTAAAAACCCTATTCTCTTTGTTATATATACTCTCTATAGGGGTCTTATACTATATACCTTGACTTAGCCTCTCTCTTTCTCTTTGAACCCTAGGGCTGGAACACCCCTATCTAATCTCTCTATTTCTCTCTCTCTAACTTAGGGTTTAGGAAGTTGAGAAACCCTTGGGGTTGGCATGCCCTAGCCACAAGGGGTGGCACACCCTAGCTCATATGTGTTGAGTTGTGCTCATGTTTTGAGCCTTGTCTAGCCCTATCATATGTCATGCTCTCTAGTATTTTTTGTTTAGGCTTCCCAATTTATGAGACAAGTTTGGAGCTAGATTCCATACGCCATTGGCAGAGGAGACCTGGTGTGGGGTGTGTGAAGTCCTTGGGGGTAACCTAAGGCAAGGTATACGGCATTGCTTTATTTCATGTCTTCTTGATTTTTATTCTAAGTATTATGTAATTTTTATATTCATGTTTTGAATGAGATTTGGTTTTGATGGAAAGCAAGTGAGAGTCCTCGGCATTCTTTGTGTTTTTTATTGGTTCATATATTGTATTAGGGCACTTGTAAGTGACCTGGGTGGTAAAATAATGAAAAAGGAAGAAAATATTTTATTTGTATTTACTTGCCTAGGTCACAGAGTCCTACTTTCAAAAACTAGGTTGAGGTATACAGTATTGAAACTTCAGTGACATTGCCGCTAGATGGTCTAAGAAGACCATTGAGGGCCCTAGGCACTGACTTTGGGCAAACAGGCTCCCAGCGAAGCCAGCCCAAAAAGGCACCCGGCTTTTAGGCCTAGGCAACTGCCGATGCCTGCCTTTTGGCCTGGGCAGGTGCGTCGATGTTACTTGATCGAGGGTGCAAAAATCCTATGCAGGGGCATGTTGAGTCATTTTTGTGACCTTTAAAAGGAGAAAACGGTTTTGAGGGGTAATCTACTCCCCAAAATCCTCTTTGCTTGGTTTTTAGAGAGATGAGGGTGGCAAAAGAGGTGCTTCAGCAACCAGCGCTTGCTGATTCGAGCCAATTTGATTGGGTGTCTGAAGGTTAGTATATTTCAAATTTTGGTTTAAGGGTTCGTGATATTATTGAAGATTTGGTTATGCTTTATTTTGTCAATATTAGTTTTTGTTTTCATAATTGTTTTCAATTTTAGTTTAGGATTTTGGGCTATTTATTCAAGGGTAAGTTTGGGTTTGAGTTTATTGACATTTTATTAAGATTGGATACAACCTTTATGAAGTGTCAATAAAATCAAGCATCTTAGGATTGATTTATGCTTTATTAGTCCTAAGATTGCCATAAGATTGAAAAGGGGGCAATAAAGTTATATATATATTTTTTAGAAGATTCACTATAATTGCATTACTGAATAATAGATTGTACAATAAATATGGTGACCCAAAAGGGTCAGTCTATAAGGAGCCCAAAAGGGTCCAAAAGAGTTTACAATGCGAGAAGCAACTCAGTGAGCGGGAAAGAAGAAGGGTGTCCACAAAAACCTAGTTCCCCTATGGGAATTCAAATAGGCCCCCTCCTTAGCCAATCAATCAGCGTTTGAGTTGGCTTCTCTAAAAGCGTGGCACCAAGAAATTCTGTGACCACTACTACATTTTTTTGATCTTGTATGAATTTTGGGAAAAAATCAATCTTCTGAAGTTGTAGTAATTCAATTCCAAATTTTGAACTCATTTATTCCAGAGTTTGAAATAGTACAACACAATAACATACTCACAAAACGAAGGTCTATGAGGCTCCAAAACCCCCTCCTCTCCGTTTGGGCTGCTTAGGAAACTAGGAACCCATCTAGGTGGCTGAATCCGAATTTCTGAACATGGAGACATATAAACTCCCTCTTACTGGTCTCCATGTGGAAAGGTGCTCTTTTACTTTTCTTTTTTTTTAAGAGACACTTTTGCTTTTAAACCGAGGTCAGTTCTTAATTGCTGCATTAGAAAGGGTCAGCCTAAAGCATCAAATTGTAGAAAGCCAAAGAAGAGAGTGGAAAGGGAGTGCACATGAACAGTTGGCCTGTGTGTATCGCCTCCTTTTTTGTTTTTTCTCCCTCTGCTCTTCCTCTCCATGGCTGATTATGAAAACCATCTTTGCCCTAGATCCTCTAAATGGGATCTGATCTCCGTTTTTTTCTGGTCCAATTGGCTGGGCATGATAAGCTTGTGCAGCTTTGAGTGGTGGTTAAATGGAGTAGAGAGCTACAATTCAGAGTTCTAGGTCCAGTTTTGGTGCTCAGCAAAGGTCAGTCATGGCTGATTCTTCATGGATTCAACAGTTCTCCAGGCCTAGGGCATGGAATCTTTTTAAGGTGCAATGTGTCCATTGAGTTTGAGATTCAGTGAAGCCTATGGAATTGGGGACCTATCCATAGGGGCCTGGCGAGGTTGATTGTGGTCATTACATTCCCATTGGTCTCTGCAGGTTTGGATTGACTTGTCAATTCATCACCCACCCAAACAAAAGCTGGCACTTGCTGCCGCCGGAATTTAAGGTGGGCACACTGAGAGGGTTTCACAACCTGAATGCCAGGATAATATGGAGCCAAGAACATGCAAATTTGGAGCTACTTGCAAGTTTCATCATCCCAGAGATAAGGCTCACACTGCAGGAGGAGTACTTTTGAATATTTCAGGGGTATCTTATACTCTTGAATGCGAAGGAAT